TTCTCTTCAAAGGGAGGTGTTGCGGGCACGTCAAATATTCCCGCAAAAACGCGCCAGAAACCCCGGCAGAATGGCTGTGGAAACCGAGGTCCAATTCCTCCCCACAACGCAGCAGAGCTCAGCCACTCCGAGACGCGCCCAACTGCGCACCTTTCGACAATGCTCATTTGCAAACTACCACCTCTGCGTGGTGACTGTTTTCCCTAACTTAATAACCCATAGCACTGGCTGTGATCGCCCTTTGTTGGTCGTAAAAGAGCCTACAGAGGACCACTTGCCTTTTCTTTCTCTTCGCCTCAGTTGGGAGTCGGTCGGGTCACGTGATTGCGTGTGAGTCGTTAGCTGGCCAGCCTTCGCGTCTAAGTCATTAGCGCGCGTCTATCGTAACCCCCTCTCGTGTGCGTCCGTTCCGAGGCTCAGCGTCTATCCGAACACGTGCGGCTAGGATCGTTCACACGCTCGCTCAATTTTCCGTCTCACCGGCTAAGCTAGCGTCATCAGGTCAGCGCAACTCCGTTCGATTGGCCAGCGTTACAAGTCGTCATCGTAGGCGTGCTCCAACCGTGCCAGCGACAATCTTATCAGGCAATTACGCAATCATATCAAGAGGCGGCGTTCCCTCAGATATAACACTTTCCTTGTGCAACGTTGTGGCGCGATCGCTCAAAATGCTACCTCTCTTACCAAATTATAGAGGAAGCGGACCAAGATTCCTAGAACTCCTGGTTCAGTCACAGCAGACAGCAATGGAAGTGTTGGAACGTTGGCAGAGATATCTTAAAAGCCTTCCATCTTAACTTGGGTCAAAATCTGCTGAAGTCTTGCTAAGACCATACAAGGGCCTACCTGAAAAGCAATCCTACCTGCAATTACGCATGAGCATCATTTTACCGTTCGTTCGCACATTTATGTAGCAGGTCCGAACAAAGAATGGGACGTACCTTGGCCAAATCAGTTTGCGGACGACGTGTCATCATCATCCCATCAAAAAATGAATAAAGGCTGACCTCGTATCGGTCGGCATTCTACCACACTTGACTCCTTTGACTCCCTGTGAGCTCCTAGAGACCGAGAAGTTATCCTGCCTTTATACAAATGTTCAAGGTCTTTTCAATAAGCTGGCCGAACTGAAGGGTCGCCAGATTTCGAAGCCATGCGACATTATAGTTGTCACAGAGACATGGTTGCCCACTGGGATGACGGACGCTGAAGTCACGCTGCCGAGCATGTCGCTCATACAAAACGACAGGCTTACGAAAGGAGGATGGGTACTGCTGTATTACCGGAGCGACCTACAGTGAGAGGCCGTGGAGGATTCAGACTTAAAGTTCGCAGATTCTCTTTTATGCGATTACATGGCAGAGAGATCTGCATTATAGCTTTGGTATACCGCCCCCCACCAAACTCTACACCGGAAATGGACTACCAACTCGCGACAGCTTTAAGATGCATCCTAAAGCGAAAGCACACTCACCTCCTTATCATGGGCGATTTCAATGTACACAGTTTAGAAACTCCTTCTACATTCGGATAGCCATCCAAAGCAGATCTGCAAGAGCTTATCACCAGTGTTTCACTTTACAATCACGTCCTTACGCCCACTCGGTTCAGAATAGGTAACAGACCTTTTCAGATCTTGCTTTTATCAACGAAAATCATATGATTGATCTATTGATCGTAGAATGCCTTTTGGGTCGCAGTGATCATGCCCTCATCAGTTTCGACTTCATCTGCTATGCGGAATATCGCAACCAGTACCCTGAGTTGGTGCGCACTATTACGCGCTACGACCGCTTAGCCCAGCTCATCAGTGCCACAACTGGTCATTCCTCGCTGAAGGCCATCCGAAAGTCGCTTGGCTTGAATTCGTCAGCAAATCCAAACAACTGGTTACGGATGCCTCAGAGACGAGGGTTTTCAATAGGCCCAAAACCGTTTTTTTCGTGCTGAGCAAAACCAGGAAATGGATGACTGCACGCAATGCAGCCTGGAGAGAGTACAGCTCATCACCAACGCCAGATAATTGGGACAACTACGTAAGCCACCGTAACTAGTGCGCTCAACTGCTCAAAGATGACAAAGTCCCATATCGGCGGAATGTGGCGAAAACTTTCAGCGCTAACCACAAACTGCTGTACAAGTATGTCAATGGATGTCGAAAGGTGTGACAGGGAATTCCTCCTCTCCGGACGACTGATGATCCAACTGGAACAGCCATAGAAGCAACAAACACGTTGCGGACTCCATATGCTCCCACATTTCAGAGGGTTTTACCCTCAAGCGATCTTGCAACATTTGTTTTCCCGCCTCCAGTACTTGCCCACATCACTTTACTGTCGAAGGTGTTTTGCGGAAGCTGACATCTTTACGCAATCACCGCTCCCCGGGAGTCGATGCCATTCGCTCAGAGGCACTGGGGACAACGGCAAGACAACTGACAAAACCTTTGGTGCTGCTTAGACCATAACCAGATTTCTGCTATGTGTAAACTTGGAATAATAACTCCGATTCACAAAGATGGAAGCAGGACTGAACCCTCTAACTACCGCCCGGAGACCCTTCTTTCTGTATTACCCAAGATCATGGGATCTACCGTAGCCGAGGCGTTGATGTGTTATCTAGAAAAATGTAACATTATTGCTCCCTAGCAACACGGCCTTCATCGACAGCGATCATGCTTGACGAATTTATTAGTCGCACGGATTAGTTGGACCGAGTCAGCTGACGCTGGAGAGACCGTTGATGTGATTTACTTGCACTTGTCGAAGACGTTCGATCGTTTAGAACATCTGGTTCTCCCTTCCAGGCCCCAATATCACGGGATCGGTGACTTCTTGAGCTGGATCGCCAACTTTCTCCTACAACGACAATTTGTGGTGAGAGTTCGACGTTCCCTATCTGAACCCATACCAGTCGGGTCTGGTGTGCCCCAGGGCTCAGTTCTAGGTCCACGGTTGTTTTTGGTATTTATCAATGAAATCGCACGGAATATCACCTCAAATTTCCTGCTGTTTGCTGACGATATCAAGATATGGCGCCGGATTCTGGCGGATGCTGATCAGAATTTACTTCAGTGTGACCTAGACACGGTACATGATTGATCAACCCGAAATCTGTTACAGTTCAACGTGGACAAATGCAAGGTACTCTCCATACGACACCAGATTGCCTATTCATACAGGCTGTGAACGCAAGTACTGCGGCGGTCATCCCTCGAGCGCGACGTTGGCGTCCTTGTTCAGGATACCTTGGGTTGTTCTAAGCAATCCGCAAAGGCGTCGAAAACATAACCAGCACGTCGGCTTGCTACGACGGGTGTTCGGACAACTAGACATCACTATTTTCAGACAGATGCTGAACGCATATGTTCATCATCATGTCGAATACGCAATTCAAGCCTGACAGCCATGACTGAAGCACGACCTTACTACACTGGACCAACCTCAACGTCGGGCTTCTAAATACGTCACTGGAATGCGCCACCTTCCGTATGAGCAGAGGCTGAAATGTCCGGGAGTATTCAGCGGGCAGTATCGTCGACTACGAGGCGACTTGATTATGACGTATTTGACTTTACACAATCCAAAGCATGTGTGCCCCTCTTGACTGCAACTCAGCAGTAACACCAAAGTTAGAGGCTACTCCTTGAAACTAACAGAACAGTTCAGCCGCCTGGCGTGGCGCAGAAACTTCTTTTCCATTTGTGCATGTCAACCATGGAGTGCTCTCCTCGAATCCGTTGTTTCAGCACCCACGCTAGCCATACGTAAAAGTCGGTTGGATGACGCACTCCGCCACTTACATTTTGTTACTTGACGCTACTGTCCATCCTACTCCCGGGAAATACCTTGTATTCACTTTTTTCGACCATTGGAGCTTTGGAAAGGCTCGGAGTGCAGGGCCACTTAAACAAAATCGATAAGTCTACTATTTTGACAGTAAAATTACAAACTGCTTTGTTCATTAACGTTTTTCGCTAACCCAGAAGACCACCCTACGGGGCTTGTAAAGCAATGCTTTTTGACCTGTATAAACTCATTGTTCACTGAACATGGTGTCGTTACTTGACTCAGTGAGTTGGTTGGTTTTCTATTCTTTTCCAGCTATGAACGTTGTGGCTACAAAGGCTAACTGAGCGGTCCGTGTGATGAGTAATGCAGGCGCACTGGTTGACAAGGTCACAAAGAATGGCGAGTGACTGGAACCTGTTAAGTGAATCTGAACACAACGCTGAACACCGATTGAGAGATCACGAATTCCTCCAGAGCTACGTGGAGAAACATCGGGTTGGAATAAGCTTAGGTTTTCCGGACTGCCTCGTGAATTCTGTGTCGAATGATGTTACACAGAAGGACAAGCGACTCGAAATGATTAAGTTATCCGCATGTGCCTAATTACGGATGACAGCTAAAACAGTAATGGTGCGAACCTTGATCGTAAAAGATCATTCCACGTATGATGGATCACTGTGTAGGGCTGGTAAATCTGATTCGAATGAGCGTACAGTGACAAGGCTGCAACAAGATGGGAATAATCCAAGTGACCCAGGCACACCCACATCACGCGGCATGTCTGCACAGAAGATAGTCAGTCAATTTAAAAGTGGATCAGCAAATGCATAGAAATACCCGGATGTTGTTCTTTCTGTCAAGTGGTTAGGAGGAGATGTACGTGAGTGTAAAAGGATAGAGCATAATTATTCCCCCAGTTCAATCACTAAGCTACTTGAGCTTGTAGTATATGGGGAAGTATGCGCTACACAATAACCCCGTCTGGTAGGGAGCTCGGCTGAGATTAAATAGTTATCGTAAGCAATGGAATTAAAGCGCTTATTCCTCTAACGTATTGTATACTATTCTGGAACGGATTGTGTGTCAAGATTGTTCCTCAATGTCTGTCACAGCTAAACAAATTAATTACTTCGATGGCTTATTTAATACCTCTACCATTGGTGGTTACATGCTAGCTTTAATTGCACGAGTGCTAAACATTTGGCTCACTTGAGTCATCAAATCATCCACTTTCTGGATAGCTGCTTTCTTCAATTTCCTTTCTTCCCTCAACTGTTTGCGCAACAGGTCTACTTCCCTGACTGATTTATCTGCTTCCTGCTTCTTCGATTTTGCGCTCGCGTCCAACAATGATTCCAACTTTCCCAAAGCAGCGTTCTTATCTTCGATCTCGGCCATCTGAAAACGGTGGAAATGTAAGCGGTTGTTATCAGCTGAATGCGTCTGGCAATATGACAGTAACTCAATCAATGACAGCCTACATTAGAAATGGCGGTCCCCGGGACAATTGAGTGTCCATGGTTCACGTGGTGGCTGTAAACCAATAAATCAAACCAAGGGAATGTCGGATTGATGTGCTGGAGGACAACTTGTGGTGCACATTTAAAACCCGTTGCTCGTAGCAATAGCAGCTTGGCGGCGAGAGCTGGTTCCTGTTTGTTGAGCTTAGGTAAAATGATGACTAAGTACAAGTTTGCCTTGAACCAAAGGTAACAGTGTTTTGTTGGAGTAGAGGCTAGTAGAAGTAGTCAGTTGATTCCATCCTGGTACCATATTCGGTGATGCGTTTCGGGTGTCCACACGTGACATGACTGTAGATAGAGGTTTCGGACTCACAATTTTGGTCAGAAGCTCATTTTGTGATAACTCTTATTCGGTGCTGACTGGCAATGAGTGTGGGTCATTTCTCAATACTTCAATGTCGTAGTACATTCGGGTGAAAGGTGGTGTCTTGAGACGATGAGCGTATACTTCAGTAAGTTTACTGGTGTAAACCCAGTTTTGCTAACAATTTTTAAAAATTTTTGTAGTTTCACCATAACCATCTTACGGGACCTGTTAAGCATTAACTTTTTTACCCGTATAAAACCATTGTTCGGGGAACCGATTGCTTTCGGTTTATCTGAGACGATTTCTGTAAAAATGCGAATAATGATTACCGGTCGAGTGGATGAGTGCCAAACAAATTGGCAACAACCTCATTCACACATCATTGCTGTGATATCGCTGCATTACCCGAAGCTCATCACCACTGGCAAAAAATGCACTCACCAGCTGATCGACTTGCATCTGTTTCACTATTGCCATCTGTTTGTCCGTGGCCGCTTTCCGTTCAGCCGCGTGCTTTTTTTCCACTTTATCGTTCAACTAGAATGGAATCCATTGGGAACAATCACATTAGTATGTGGAATCTATCGAACAATCATAACAATTTTTGCCGCATAGTAAAGACCGTGTAAATTTTGGTAACTTGACAGACCACCGGATCTAACGGTTCTTATTATTAACCCGCCTACCTCATTTGAAGCGTGGTGAATTTTCGGGTTCGGTTAGCCGCCACACAACTTCCAATCTGATATTTTATGTATTACGTTCGAGGTCCGTTAGCCGTGACTAAGGCTTCATTTCGGTCATCGGAGTTCTGGGCCTAGGTCTCGGCGTCGCTATCTTGTGGACTCGTTTTGAAATTGCAGCTGATCACCTATACTAGAAGATTCCAAACAAAGCCCAACCTGCCAATACTATGCCACACATATTGCCTTCATTCTTACTCCAGTTAGCATGCATATCATTTAATGGGAGCTACCCGTTGATTTCGTCGCCACCTGATCCATCGAGCTGCAGAGTCTAATTTAGCACCATTAGGTATAAAACTGATTTCGATTTTCTCGTTTAACAGGAATCCCAGCTTTAGTTATATGATTCAGTGGATTTCGTTCTCTGGCTAATACAAAAGGTATGTAATGTGTGAATGTGTATTAGATATACTCTCACCATAGGCAGCACCCGCTTTCGGATTGATCGCACAATGCTCTTTCGCTAGACCTTCGCACACTACTAGAAAATCAAACGTTTACATAAAGACTGCACCACATTCAACAATATTAAAGCGTGAGTTTGTGTCCGATCACAGAGCATCAGTAAGAGAAAGCTTAGTTGACCCAATTAAGCACACATACCTCTTTATCCAAAGCTTTTCGCATATCATTGAGATGTTTCTCAGTGTTGGACAAATGATCGCGTAATTTGGACATCTCTTCGTTAAGCAACCGAACTCGCTGCTCGGAGAGTATACCAAGTCTGGTGACGTGCGTCTTGCTCCGATTCCGTTGATCCTCGACTCCGCTTATCTGAAATGAGAATCCCATAGGTCGGTAAATCAGTGGGTTGCTTACTTGCAAAAAGATTCCGAAATTGCCCGATTCAAACAGCACCCATAATGGGCTCGGTATTTAGGCTTGAATCAGCCAACTCGTTGCACTCCTTCGTCTCTGTTAGTTTGGAGCCAGGTCTCCTATCAGTTTACCTGGCGTTTATCGCGTAAAGGATTCTATGGTGGGTCTGGATGTAAATATATTCTGGGTTTCTACACTTCATCAACTGCATCCGCACACAGCTGCGTAAGCGTGTGTAATAGTCAAACTCACTTTCTAGGCAAACTAGCGATATGACCGCTTACCGGATTAGGAGGGCGAGAGCAGCAGAGTATCATTGATCAACCATCGACTATGTCTCCAACTACTTGCAATTACACACCCACTCTGACTCGCTGCATTCACATTGCGGCCATCTAAACTAAGGTTGGCGTGAGCACTTTCATCATTAACTATCGCTTCATAAGTCGCTCAATCATAACTTTTGAACGAACTGGTTTCAGTTGGATACGATTATGAGAGATGACGAGATCGGCACCCTCCTGCATTTAGCCTGCTGTCCCTTGATTTAACTTCGAACACAGCACAACGACAACCATCGCTCTGCCTGTGTTTGTGGTGCCCTTGTTCATCATTGTCACTTTAGCGGATGAGAGAATATTCCAAATCACCGATTCTGGGGGTTGGCATTCACTGAGCCTGGAAACAGTGAGCTCTGTAGTGGCTGACGCCCCATTTAATCGATACGCTAAAGCACGTCCATTTGTGTGTGATCACCTTGCTTTTATCCCTATAGGTAGCTCTCGCGATACATCATACATCCTAGTAGTGAACTTGTGGTGGAACCATTAATGAGAGAAAGTACCGGTTCTCAGTCCACGCTGAGTTACACCCTTATAAATTGAGGAATTGATCAAACAGTTTAGCCGGTTATAATAACGTCGATCCTTCTCCTTTCGTGTTTACCAGCTCTGGAACGCCCTCCTCGTGCACATCGTTTTTGGCCGGGTTGACCCATGTTTAAAAACTTCTTGGCGACCTATTGCACCATTTACATTTATCTGTATAACTTGCACTTTCCAGTAGGTTACATAACGCCAGCAAAAAGGGTTTTCCTAAATTCTAACCGAGCTGACATATAATTTCGGACATCACGGGGAATACACCGGTACGCAATGAAATGTATGAAAACGTACTGCTAGCTCTCAGAGATCTTCAAACCGCCTAAACTCGCATTGAGTGGCAAGCTGAGACTTTATTTGACATACGCGTTTTTATACATCCTCACTCTTTGTTGACGGGGTGTTTCGAATTTACTCCTGGAGCCGATGCACAGTTGTTCGCCCGATTAGTGTATATATGCGCAAATGTGTTACGGCAAAACATCCATTCTCTGTTCTGAGTGGTATTTTATATGTGAACAGATAGTGATGGTTTTTTCATTTAGTGTATGCTTTAAGCCCCACTGGGTTCAATTTCATTTCACTTTCCGGGTATCATAGGAGTCGATTCGAACAACCTAACAAGCTCATCTCGTCAGATTGACTGAAACTAGCTTTTGTGCTCGTCAACATCCACTTTACCACTAACATCGATGCAAGTGACATAATGGGTTCGTCCACTAATCTTTGCGAGTATCCCACTGGGTTCGAAAGTACGGCAGATGTTTATAAATTACGTAGGTTGTAATGTATCTTGGCTACATCGTGAACAAGTATATCTATGAATCCTTACAACTAGTAGGAAAGCTGTCGATAATGATAAATAAATAGATATTTTATTCTCGAGTTCATCGAGGCACACCATAAGTGGCATGATCCATTATTCCAGTCCACGTGCCACAGCCAGCAGCGCTGTGTTAAACTACGGGGGGTACTGAAAGCCAACTGCACCTAATTCTTAAAAACTCATTGAGCGAAGGACGACAACAATAGTAGTGATCAGGACCGTAAGCAACCGTGAAGGTTCTGAAAGTATCTGTAGCATTGACCTTGACACGCATTGATGAGGAGTCGCAAGTCCGATTAGTGTATTGTTGAGATATCAAACGCCTGTGGCTGTCCTATGAAGGTCTCAGCGACGGACAAATGTGGAGTCGGATACCGCCAACCATGTGGAATCTCATCATCGTAGTTGAAGTTTAAGTCGATCGACACTTGATCAGTGCTAAATCTCAAATATGAAAATTACGCCGGGCTCGCGTTGGAACTCAGTTCAGTTTTCCTGAACCGACTATAAGTAGAATGTCTCCAAAATGTGGTGGCGTCAACAGTGTGCAGTAGAAGTAGTTCCGAACGACGCACACACCAATGGCCTCAATGTTCTTAAAAAGTGGTTGAACACAAATAAGTTACACTGACAACGATTCGTACTTGACGCCGGGACTTCTTCAGGCCATGCTCTTGCGTCAAGAGCGAAGCGTTGCCACAATACAACCTTTACAAAACCGATTTGCGTTCAACTTCTTCCGAACATAAATTCCATCTCGGTTCCAAGCTTATTTCGTGATAGTAATACCATACTATGGATTGGTTCATCTTCCCTCGTGTAATTACCCATAAATCCGTGGAACACAGCGCCTCAGCTGTTCCAGCTATGATACATCAGGTTCCTCACCATCAACAGCAATACATCAGCCATTTGAACTGATACTTTAATGCCGCACAACCTCGGTGACCTTCGGGACGAAAAATAATAACAGAAAGAAAAGGGGGACCTTGCGTAAAACCCTAGTGCTCCATACAAGGATTTAGAGTCAAGGCGCCTACACTTTGTCAACCACATACCGTCACAAACAGCTGGTTATCGTATACGAATAAGAAGGGATCGGCGAGACAGCTTCCTTGCGGCTTTCACTGTCCCGCGTCCAAATCAACCATTACCCCGCAGATAACCCAGCACCAAATACAAGTCAAACAGACAATTCGACTATAAGACGACGGCAGGCGCGCCACTGGTGTCGACTGCAAGCCATGTCCTGTAAAGTCTCGAGCCAAGCACAAAGCCGGTCTGAAAGACGAGACGGACCAACAACACCCAGTTTGGTCTCCAGTGATTTCATTTCCCGCTAACAAATTAACTTTCGTCCACTTCGAGCCTTGCGCCACTCTACATCTGGCAAACGAAACAAGACCCTCCTCGGTAAGTGGTGACCGGACATACCTAATACGTGCCCAAGCCAACGCAACTTATTTAATGCTGTCTATTGTTCTGAGCAACTATCCTGATTACCACTGCTTAGTATTCGCCTACGCGCACCATCGTCACGGGCACGCTGGTGCCATTTGACACCAGCAATGCTTCGCAGACAGCGATGATCAAAGACTTGAAGGCATCTCAGTCTGAAGAGCCTAAGTCTTACTACCATACAGTTGGACGGCCCTCACTGTGGCCTAGTAAACAGCGTTTAATCCAAGGGAAACCCCCATTTCGGATACCACAAATGTAGCAGATTCAAGGAGGTGGTTCTAACTTTTAAGCACTTGCACCCATTATAGATTATGCAGCCGCCAGGGTAAGCGAATTAATCATTTACCTCGAGTTCCTCGCCATCATTGGTTAAAGGATCATCAAGTGGTTGATGGTTCTGCAACAAAACCTTGCACTTTGACCATTCGAAGCGTATGCCTAATAATGGGATCACTAGATAGATTATTCATGGTTGACTAGGGCGTCTCAATCTCGTTAAGCATCACAAAATATCGTCCGCATAATCAAGATCAACAGGTTTTTCGCCAGTCGGCACCTTGCACCGTGAGATTGCGCAAGGAACCTCGCCATGATATAGTCCACGACTAAGTTGAACAAATATTGGAAAATTTGACAACCCTGATGAAAGCTGCTTTTTACACAAATGTATCGTTTCTCGACGGTTCAAAAGACTGCTCCCGCATAGGGACATACAACAAGTCCCCGTGGACCCTGACGCGTTCTGCATGATTTGAGTACACAGCACGTAAAGTATCCGCATATTTCATGGGAACACATTTCGAACAAGAGATTGGCAGACTGAGTCGAACTTACCCTTGAAGTCGAGAAACACAGCTATTGTCGGTCTGCGTACGTGTCACGCTCTTCTAACAGCTACCGCAAGGTGACTTTATGGTCTGTACAACCCTGTCTCTGAAGGGAACCGGCCTACTCTTCCCTCACCCAAGATTCTCGTTCCGCTGCGAGACAACGAACAAAGATTGTGACCAGTTAAACGCACGAATTCACTAGCCAGATTTCGAATACATGGTCCGGATAGCAACTCAATATCTCGGTTCCAAGCCTATTGCGAGATATTGAATTGTGGCCAGTTATTTTGTCACCACTGGCGCAAGCTAATAACTGTGAGTAATACAGTTGGCGCAACTGCCCTTATCGTATATTGCCACTAGAATCGGTTCACTCCAGTTAGCTTGGATAACCTCTGTCTTCCAAATCTGCTCGAACAGGGAGATCAGTGCTTTTCAAAGGACCTCACCCCATCCTTGAATAATGCAGGTGGGAGGGAGTCCGGGCGAGCAGCACGAAAACGATTGAGGGCTGCGACGGAATCTCGAAGCTGAGTGGCCATGGCTCATCCTCCATCACCGGATTAGGAAGAGTTCCTGAAGCAGGCGGCCAAGTGAACTGATCTCGAAAGTGCTCCGTCCAACAAGCCATACGATGCCTCTTATTGTGAATCATGGCACCCGTACTGTTCCTGCTTGTCTCACTGACGCCTGGTTTCCTGAGACCTGTTGTGTGAATCAGCTGTAAGACCTCAGAAATTGCATATTGCTTCCGCCTCTTCCATTTTTTGGGCGCGACTAGTCCACCAGGTTTCCTCGTCAACGCGCAGGCTTTGCTGTAAATATATATATATATATATATATATATATATATATATATATGGCGGGAGAGCCTATGGTGCGCTGAGGCTGGTGGTGGCTAGATCCTGACAGATGGTCTACCCACTGCTGCTACTGTTGCGCCATAGTCTCATGTCC